AGAACTAGAGCCAGCTGCAGGTGCAGGTTTTGGAAAACGAGTTCTACTTAGCTAAGAGTAAGATCACCAACAGAGGAAGCCGGAGTGGAGAGGGCTAAGGCTCTCGGAGTGAAGAAGTCAGAGGTGACATGACTTGAGAAGGGGAGGAAGTCAGATAAAGACGACCTACTTAGGAGGAATAGGACTTTCTCCTGGCGAAGACCCTGGGGGAGCTCACCCACTGAGAAATAGGGGACCAGGAGAAGAAAGCACCGCTCAGTTCAGCAGAGAGCAGACAGATGAGGTGACCTTAGGAAGGCAGAGCCAGATGGCAAGGGTGAGGGGGAAGGTATGGCTGGCCGGAAATGGAGGTGGGCACAGGAGAGCAGACTTCCTGCTGATAGTCCTCAATGCGCCATCCCATACACCTTGTTCAACTTTTGCATCCATATCAAGCTATTATCACATTTTCCTATCTTGGCTAGTGTAGATAGAGATCTCACGTACCCACAGCACTGACCACGCCCGTTTCAGTACATGAGATCTCTACCTGTAGGCTAGGACCCTTTCATGGACTCTTAGTTTATGAAAGGCCTTCTTTGTAGGGAAGGCAAGTTCCAGTAAAAATTTCAGTGGTTAGGCCAGCCTTCTCCTGTAGCAGCTGTGAGGAAGTTGGTGCTGTCCTCAGCTCGCCAAAGCTGTGGTAGGCTAAGGAGGTTTGCATATTTGTCTCAACTTAGTCTAAAAAGAGGCCCCCATTTACCTGGATGATTTGTGTATAGGAAAGCCATGGGCTGAATTCTGAGAGAATTGTAAAACCAAAGCCCACCCCCCCCCAGAGAAAATCAACGTGAACAAGCCCAATTACTTATGTCTGGTTAGAAAGTACTGTGGTATGTTTTCAGTTGCTTCAGCCTGTAGTGAATTTGCATCCCACAGCACCATCTGGTGGATGATCTGAGCCACTGATCTTTGGACTGTCATTTTCAAGATCTAATTCTAGACAAATATTGGTCTTTATGAAAAATGCAGACTGCTAGCTGATAGTGGTGGTGTACGCCTTTAATATCAGCACTCAGGAGGCAGAGGCAGGAGGATTTCTGTGAGTGGAGGCCAACCTGGTCTACATAGTGAGTTCCAGGGTAGCCAGGGGTATACAGTGAGATCCAGGAGGTGACATGTCCCTGGGGGTGAGTTTTGAGGTTTCAGAAGTTCACATCTTTTCCAATTATCTCCCTTTGCTTCATGCTGCTTGTGGACCAAGATTCAGTGTCTCAGTAACTGGGTCATTGTCGTGCCTGCCTCCCTGCTGCCATAGTCCTAGCCATGATGGTCACAGACTCATCCTCTGAGAAACTTAAAGAAGCAAAACTCCTTTGTTATTGTTTTTGTTTGTTTGTTTGTTTGTTTTGGTTTTTCCAGATAGGCGTTGTCTGTGTAGCAGTCCTGACTGACGTGGAACTCACTCTGTAGACTAAGATGGCCTCGAACTCACAGAGATTTGTTTGCCTCTGCTTCCCAAGTGCTGCAATCAAAGGCATGAGCCACTGCTGCCTGGCTCCTATGACTCTTCCTAACTCTTTCTGATATGCACAGGCAGGGCTGTGGACTTGGCAAAGAAACCAGGTCTGCACTAATTCCAGATGCGGACAGCAAAGCTCAGACTGCCATGGTTATTTTGATGTCACTAAGAGTCACTTTCTGCTTGGGGACATGACACTTCTTATGTATTTGTCTTTCTTCCCTTGCCTGGCAGCTGCAGAGGGGGTGGTTCCTGACCAAGCATTCTGGCTTGGCAGTTTTGTAGGTGACTCACAGTCTACTCCTATGCTGCCAGCCTGTGAACAAACTAAAAGTGTTCACAGAGTAGCCCTGACAAAATAGGGTGTTTCCTAAGGGGATTGGGGGTGGGCATGGCACCTGTCCAGTACCATTTTCATGGAGAGAGCTAGGTGCCCTTGCTTTTTTCTTCTTTTCTGTTTCCCTTTTCTTTCTTTTCTTCATTCTATCCAATCTTCTTAAAAAGTAATAGACCAACAACAGGGTAATCAAAGCAAAGCAGAAAATTATTTTGAACAGACAAAACCAACATCTCTAGGCATTCAAGTCAGAGATGTTAAAAAAATCCTCAGGCCAGGTGATGGTGGCACATGCCTTTAATCCCAACATTCAGAAGGCAGAGGCAGGTGGATCTCTGTGAGTTCAAGGCCAGCCTAGTCTACAGAGTGAGTTCCAGGGCAACCTCCAAAGCAATACAGAGAAACCCTGTCTCAAAAAACCAACCAAACAAACAAACAAACAAAAAAACCTCAAAACATCTTAGATTGTGCTCAAGTAGCAGAGGGTGGTAATCAGGCTTAATTCTTCCTCTGTGTCTAACTTGCTTGTCCTGTTCCTCAGAGGGCTTAAGTTGCTATGAAAAAGAAAAGCCAGACTTTCTCTAAGGTAAACAGGTCTCCTGCCCTATTGTCCTTGCAAGTGAGGACCTTGCCATGGAGTAGTGTCATAGCAACTTTTCTATTGCTGTGACAAAACACCACAACCAAGGCATCTTGTAAAAGAAGGATTTTATTAAGGATCTATAGTTTCAGAGAGTGAGACCATGAGCATTATGGCAGGAGAATGGCATCAAGCAGGCAGTCATGGCACTTGAGCAGTAGCTGTGAGCTCACATCTTGACCCACAAGTATGTAAACAGAATTTTTCTCTGTCCTGCCATGTCCCACAGCCACTTTTAAATAATCAGTCAGAGGCTTAATTTTAATTACAAAATATTTGGCTTATAGCTCAGGCTTATTACTAACTAGCTCTTACATTTAAGTTAACTCATTTTTACTAATGTATGTATTGCCATGTGGCCATGGCTTTACTGGTTCTGGTTTTCTGGTATCTTGGGCAGCTGGCTCACATGTCTCCCGACTCCTCCCCTTCATACACACACACACACACACACACACACACACACACACACACACACACACGACATGAAAGCAAAGGGAGACTGAGGGAAGGGATGAGCCTGGAAGAGGGACAGAGAAAGGAAGACTAAATGAAGAAAGGGGAGTGCATAGCTATGGTCAAGTTACATGAAGTACTTGAAAGGAATTGTATGAAACCAAACGCTATGCATAATGAATGCCCACTGCTAAAAATACTGAAAGAGATTCAGATAAAATGTGCAAATTAGTAAATCATTCACCCCTAAATCAGGTTAATTCTGGAATGAGACTATGGGAGATCCCTTGAGTTGTTGTCCAGCTGAAGAAGCCCCATTACAGAGCTCACTGAACTATTGCAGTGACTATTATCAGTAACTGTCCACTGAGTGTTCCGTCAGGGGTGTGAGTGACTTTCTACATTCATGTATGTGAAGTGTCTCCCAAGACTCTGCTGCAGGTTTGACTCATGAAAGCAGGCCTCCCTCCTTCCTCAGATGTCCTTGTGATGAATTTGTTCCAGTGATAAAGTCACAATAAGGAACGCCCAAATGGTACCCCCAGTACTTCATCTAATCCCCTACACGCTGTCTTTTGTCTACCTCACGTTTCCTCCCTTTCAGGTTTTGAGAAAATAATTCACTTAAAACAGCAACAACATTCTCACATGTATTGAACTACTATTAAACTATCCCTCATGTCTCAATTCTTTAAAGTATCAAAATATTCTGCTTTATTTATCTTATTTCTCTTACGGCTTACTACTCCTATCTTTTTGTAACCTTCTTGTTATTATTACTTCTATTTATAAATTAGCCTAAGTATCCTTCCTAACTCATCCTTTGAAAAGTTCAGTCAATTAACTCTCCATATTGCAAAACCCTAAGCTTATACCACATGCTGGCCAAGTCAAGAAGGATGATACAGCTGAGTACGGTTGATGCAATTTAAGCACCTGGGCATAGAGGCAAGGCCCATCAGGAGCTCAAGGTTAGCTACAGAGAGGTGTTTGGTTTCAGAGAGGTGGTAGAACACAGTCACATATAATAACATAGTAGCAACCTATGTGTCAATGGCGATGTGCTGTTAATTGCCCTGCCTTGTTTATTTAACCTGTGAAAATGTCCTTATTCACGGCTTCCGTGAGACTATGTCCAGTAAACCTGTAAGTATCTGGTAATGACACCTTCACCCAATCTGGAATTTAAGTCTTATTGTAAAGTTCTTAAGTGGGATTTCAGCGAGGCTCTCCGTCGTCGGCGTCACTGGTTTATGGCAGCAACAACAAGGCAAAAGGGTGAGTGGAGGAAGGCGTCTCCTCCGTTGTATCCTTGCCAGGCACTCATTTCAGGGGTATGTTTGGAAATTACTTTTTGCTCCTGTCTTCTGTAATCTACCGTGCAACACAAGGTCTCAAACCTGGTTTTCTGTGTGACTGCTTCCGGTGTGAGTGCTTCCTGTGCGACTGTTGTACTTCTCATCTCCTGCGTTGAATTTAAGAGCTAGCATGAAACTGGTAACAACATCATTCAGTCAAGATGGTTTTCCATGTCCAAAGTGATGGCCAGAGGATACCTGCTACCAAGCCTCAGTTTGCTCCTGAGACTCACATGGTGGAAGGAGTGAACTGACCTCACAAATTGTCTTCTGAACTACACACACAAACACACACACACACATACACACACACACAGACATACACATACATAGACACACAGACACAGACACACACACAGACATACACACAGACATACACATACATAGACACACAGACACACACACACAGACACACAAACACACACAGACACACACACAAACACACACACAGGCACACACAAAGTTGTAAAAAATTAAGATGATAAAGTGTGAGCCCTAAATATCTACCTTGAAACCAAAATTTCTATGTAGATTTTGAGTATTTTTCTCATTGATTTGTATGGAATATGAGGTTTGATTATGCCATTTTAAAGATGAAGTGAGTTTGTAAGCCTGGTTTTTGTTTTAATGTAACTATAAATTTGTGTTCAGGGACAATTTTGACTTTGTATAACGTCCTCACAATACTTTTTGTGTGTCTCCTCACAGCGTGCCACATACTAGAATGTCACAGTGGAATGGCCCAAGATGTTATAAGCACCATAGGACAGGCCTTTGAACTCCGGTTCAAACAGTATTTGAAAAATCCTTCCTTGAACACTTGGGAAAGGTCAGTTAAGAGTTTCATAGTTATTTAACTTTCTGTCTTTCTGAATATTTGAAACATTACTATGACGATGGGGCATATGGCACACGCTTTTGATCTTAGTACTTGGAAGGCAGAGGCAGGTAGATCTCTGTGAGTTCAAGGCCAGCCTGGTCTATACAGCAAGTTCTAGGCCAGTCAATGATACATGGTGAGGCCCTGTCTAAAAAGAAAACACCAAAAAAACTTACTATGATGTTTTGAAGTTCACAAATGAGATGAATTTTTTTCTTACAAGTAACAGTTTCAGTACAAAAATAAGAGCTATTTACTTTTCCTTCACTCTTGTTTATCCAGACATTCTTCCGACACTAAAGTGGGAAGAAATCAACCCGGTTTCTTCAGTGTTACACAAAACTGTGGACTGCACAGAGTTCTAAAATAACAAATGTTAACAAGTTCCTCAGATTTACTTTAACGCAGATCTCACGCATATTAGTAAAAAGTAAATCCAAGCTGAAGAAAAAGATAGTAAGAAAGATCTCCTCGGGAATCTGTTAGCTGTTAGTAGGTGTTATAACTGGCTGTAGTCTGTGGGGGTGGAGCAGATGGGACCCAAGAAGCTGGTGTCCGAGGCCATGAAAGCTGATCCTGCCACCAACTTCATGTTCAAGAAATGAAACCCTTGGGGATTTTTAAATGTACCCTTCCCCAAATTGTCATCCTGTGTATCAACAAGCACTGGGCTCGAAGATGCCTTTTTATGAGGTAGGTCATCCAGGGCAACAGAGAAAAGGGTTACTGGGAGTCCTGCTGCTAACATTTTTACCCGGGATCCTACACAGTCATGTGGGCTAGTAGGCTAGCTCGGCCTAAGAAGACTTGATTTGGTGTGGGAAGATGGCTCCGTGGATAAAAGTGCTCAGCACTCAAGCCTGATGACCTGGGTTCTGGTCCCAGGAACCTAGTAGAAAGATGGCCCTGGGGACATGCATCTGCCGTCCTGGAGCTCCTACGGTGAGACAGGAGGTGGAGTCCACGGGAAAGCAGCAGAAATGAGAGAGCCAAAACCAAGAGTGACGGCAAGAATTGACTTGCCGAAGTTGGGCTTTGACCTCCCGTGTGTGCCTTGGCACACACACGCCTGCTGCGCTCAATCGCATCGTCCCTCACATGCGTGCAAAATCGTAAAGAGATTTGATTTGACTTATTCTTTTCAGAAGAAACTTTTGTTAATTCCAGTTTGGAAGAAAAGCCTATTTGTTTCTTTTTTATCCTATTTCAATTTTTTAAAACAATCACATGTTTACAGAATTCTCCCACTTTGCCACATGTGACTCTAATGTTCTTTATGAATACCATACGTGTGTAGATTTGTGCAGACAAGATAGCTGGCCACAGCTCTTTATTCTTTTCATCTTAATTTAGCACACTGGGCTAGGCCCTCTACCCAAAGAACAATATCTCAATTTTCTTTGACCAAAGCATTTCCAAAATGAAGCAACTGCAGCGAGCCAGAGACACTTAAGAAGACTTTACATTTTTATGATGCTCTGTTGAAACAGCCTTCTATCCAGGCGAGCCATTGTTTACCATCAATATTATTACTACTGGAAAGAAATGCAAATGCCTCACCCTTGACACTCTTCGCTGGCTTCCTCCATTTGGATTATCTACAGGCTTCTAAACAATTCGGCATGGCAGTCCAGATGTTTGATATTGCTTAATCACAGCAGTGGACTTAAAAAACACAATGCACAGTTTTCCAGGATGATTTGCCTGGCCGTGATCTCTCTGTATCTCATTTAGCCTTTGAGTTCCCACCCAGCCTCTTGGGACTTCTTTTTTCCCCTTGCAGTGAGGAGGTACACACGGATGGCACATCTGAAGACAGAGATCATGACTATTACAACGCAATGCCAGGGAAGCAGCCACCTGTAGGCGGCATTTCAGATGTGCGGATCAAGGTTCAAGCTACAGACCAAATGGCTTACTGCCCTATCCGGTGTGAGAAGTTGTGCTATTTAGTAAGTAATGTTTTATTGTACTGGAGATGTGATTCTGTTCTTACCACTAGAGCCCTCGATTTGAGGATTTTCCAGATGTGATGAGTTTATCAAAAGTACGGTCTTCTCAAAAGTAGGGTAAATCACAGCCTACACTGGATTGTTTTTATTTCCAACACCCTACCCACAGCTTCCGCAAGCATCCTATCTGTCTTCACTAGAATCACCCAATGCATCACTCTCATCTTTATCTTTCCACATTCCCAGTCTCCCCCTGCTCTCGCATCTCCTCCTGAGCCATTGCGTCCGAATACAACCCTCCCCTGCCTGCACTGACACACACCTCTTACCAGCTCTATGTCCTTGTTCTGTCCAGTCTCTGCCTCAACCTCACCCAACCGGGTCTTTCTCTTCTGCCTGTGGATAAGCTTTGGCCATGCAACCTAATCATCGCTGATTCACCTTCTTTCACTCCCATTTCTAAGGACATAGTCTCCATCCTTGCTCTCACGTGAACACCGTGACTTTGAGGTCCTAACTCTGCTTGACAACCTAATCCAAATGACTTTTACAATGGCTCCTAGTGACTTGCTAAATGGACGTCTCCCTTTAGTAGCCCTGCATCTTTAGGGCTGCAACCTGTCGGGTGCTCTTCCTTGAATCCTCTTCTGTTGGCTGCCTAAACATTATTTTCATCTTGGTGCTCACTTATTGAACCTTTCATTTTCTGCTCCCAGACCCCCCCACTGTCTAACTTTTTGTTATAGTTGGAAGAATCCTTATAGTGAACATCCACATGGATAACATTTGACTCATTGCATTTGTTCTACCACATGTGTTGCCATGATTCATCTTGCAATTTGTTTTTGCATATTTGTTGGGTACAGATATGTACACATATGTGTAATCTTATGTGTGTGAGCACACATGGGGGCCAGAGGTTGATGTCCAACACTCTTCATTGTATTTACAGAGGCAGGGTCTTTTGCTGAGCCCAGGGCTTGCCTGTTCAGCTAGTCAAGCACCCAGCTTGCTGGACAGATTCTCTCTCCCTGCTTCTTGTGCGTTGGGATTGCTGGGAGTTGTCTGGTATGTACATGGGTGCTAGAGACCTGAACCACAGTCTTTAGGCTTCTCTGGAAAGCTTTCTATCCAATGAGCCATGTCCCCGCCTATTCCTGATACATTTAAGGGCAAGTTGAGTCTTTCCTTTTTCTATCATAGTTTCTCCCATTTCCTCCTTGAAAACCCAGTCCTACCTTGCCACCCTGTTAGCATTTCCATGGCTCCTCCTGGGCTTAGATCTTGCCTGTAGCCTGTAGCCTGAGTATACGTCTGTCTCTATCTTTACTACCTTCAACCCTTACCTGGCTCTTCAGCTCTAATACCAAACTATGTATCCCTGGCTTGAACTCACGGCAATCCACCTGCCTCTGCCTCATGACTGCAGGGGTTAAGGCGCACTACCATGCCACACTCAATTTCCATAGCCTTGTTTATTCATGCTACTGTCTCTCTTTCTCTCATCAATAGACTCTGCCTTTTCTTACATTTCAGAGCCCATATCAACTTGTGTCCAGTATCCAGGCTTCTCCCATGTGAATATCCTTTTTATCCACTCTGACTTTACTGAAGCTTATCAAGTTCTGGTCCTACTTGCCTAAGTGATTCTGAAAGACACATACCTGTCATTGATTACATGCCCTCAGATCATCTTACATGATGTCATCAGATAAGCCTATTAAATCCACTCCTTTATTTTAATTTTTACAAATGTGGTGTGTATGTGTTTTGTGTGCACACATTCACGTGCAAGGGCATGTACATGCTGCAGCATGCATGTAGAGGCCAAAGGAGAATCAGACGGTGAGTCCTTGCCTTCTACTTTGCTTGAGACAGCGTATCTTTTGTTTTGCTTCATACCACAGGGTAGACGTTCTGGGAGCTTCTGGGCATTCATCTATCTTTGCCTCCCATTTCCCCTACACATTCTCTGGGATTACAGAGTTCTACTGCATAGGGCTTGGCATAGACTCTGGGGATCCAAACTCCAGCCTTCACACTCATGAAGCAAGTGCAGTACACATTGACCCATCACCTCTCCAGCCCCAGATAAATCTTTCTAAAGCATGCATGCTGCACTTCTCCAAGTGCAGTACACATTGACCCATCACCTCTCCAGCCCCAGATAAATCTTTCTAAAGCATGCATGCTGCACTTCTCCAAGGCATCAACACATCTTCACTCCATTGCTGAAGAGCATACATGTCAAGATGAGGATGACTGAAGCCCTCTAGTTGGCTGAGGTTTTCAAGAGTGACAAGTGAGTCTAGCACAAGCATCAGTAGAGCAGGGTTCTAGTTTGTCATCTCAAAATTAGGCAGAGATTGGGATGCTGAGTTTGTAAAGTGCTTGCTATACAAGCATGAGGACCTGAGTGTAATCCCCTGAACTCACATTAAAAAAAAGTCAGGTGAGATGGCATGTGCTTGTAGTCCCAGTACTGCAGAGGGGGCAGGAGGCAGCTAACTGGGGATCTGCAGCTAACCAGCTAGCCTGGCCTAATCAGTGAGAGACCATGTCTCAAAAACCCAGCTGGACAGCTCCCAAAGAATGACACCCAACATTGACGTCTGCCTTCCATACTTATGTGAACACACACTCACAAACACATGCACAAACATACACACAAATTAAGTTAAAAATCACTTTCTAGCTGAGACTTTGAGTGCTGGAATGTAACTTCTCAAGACACAGGATGTGGACAGTCCTTTTGACATCCCCCACCATCAGATTCATTTCTGCAACTAACTCCAAAAGGAAGACCATCAAGTACCGTGCTTCCCTCCAGATTCCCCATTCCCAGCTTGTCAGACCTTGCCTGTGCCGCAAAGTGAGGTTGCCTGCTGTATTCTCTTGAAAGCTATCTTTTTCTTTGAAGGTTATAAAAATGTACTCTTGATAAACATCCTACAATCTGTTGTTTGTACAGCCCGGGAACTCTAAGTGCAGCGGTGTGTATGAGAACTGTATGGGACAGAGCGGGTCAGTAGGTAAGTACAATGCCTTCCAGATGCCACTCCAACTCCTTTCAAGCCATACGAATGTGTGACCCCGCTCTTAAATGGCAGACCTCAAACTGGACACACAGTCTTTGTTGCAGGCTTCCTAGAGAAGCCAGAATGTCATTGTGTGTCATTCGAGAGCTTCACGCTTCTCCTTTGCTCTCACGTGAGTCCCTAGAAATAAGTTTATAGAAGCAGCTGCACTGCCAGCGAGTGGCTTCTTTCTGATTGTCAGAACTATTTGTTTATTTAGGAAGGCAAGTCTTGCAGGGTGAGGTGGGGAGGAAACTGAATAACGACTTTTAAGGACTCAGCAGACCATTTGTCACCTTTTGGATCTATTTTTGCCAGTGTAGCCTACTGACTGTTTTATATCTCTGCTTATCACCATTCTACACCTTTCTAAAAACATAGTTCCTTCTGATAGAAATTAAAATTCCATAGTGGTACTTGCTTGAATCCCAGAATTCCAGAGGCAGAGGCAAGCAGAGCTCTGTGAGTTCAAGGCCAGTCTGGTATACATAGCAGTTTTAGGCCAGCCAGAATTTTCCATGAAATTCTTTGCGGTCCACTAAAATCCTAAGTTAATTACTTCTCAGCCTTTTGGCTGAGATCAAATGTAAAACTCTAAACTTTCTTAGTTATATGGCTAAAAAGTGAAACTTAAACTAAGTGTAGGTGCCTCTGAAATCATGCTTTCTTGGAGCTGTAACTTCTCCTTCCCCTCCTCCTGGGAATTGCCAGCTGGATTTAACAATGGGATGGACCTTGCTCACTCTACAGTACTCTCAGTGTGCTGAAGTTGACTTGTTCCATGTCTCATGGAGTCTACATTTACTCAACAATCCTGTCAGTGATATTTATTGAGGTTTCTCACAGCATTTAGTTATAAAAGCAGATGTCATCTACATTTTCAATCTTGATAATTTTGAGTATGGGAAGAATTAGCATTTGGGGGCAAAAATCCAACCTTATTAGGTCACTATTGTTTATGAGCTCATACTGTTGCTTAGGAAGAGCTTACCCTATGAGTAGAGGCATTGTCTCTAGGCCTTGACTGTCTTGCAATGATCTTTTAGTCACTTGATTCTGTAGAGACTGGATCCTCCCTTGGGATTTCTGACATACAAAGTATAACGCTGGTGAGATGGCAGGAACAGCTGACTAAACAGAAACATGTGGAATGAGGAGCAGCATTAAGGGTGTCCTACTGCTGGGCCTCTCTCTTCACTATCATGTGGAATCTGGTATGAGCCTGCCCTGTTTAAACCACATCAAAGGGGTAGCATGACCGAAGCAATAGAAGAAGGAATGTTGCCTTACAGTAAGGCAGTCAAGAGCCATGGCTTCGGGTGCAGGGAAACAGTGGTTTCAGGTACAACCTCATGGCAATCCTGGAGCATGTACAGCTGAAACTTATAAATGTGCTCATTTAAACAGAGATGTAAAAAATTCATCCTGGCATCCTTAGGTCACAACCATCTGGATGATGTGGAGTCCTTCATGCCACAGATCATGAAAGATTGTGCTCATACCCATGCATCCAGTAACAGTGATGTGCCAGACTCGTGAAGAATCGTAGCTGTGAGCAAGGCACATTACCCTTGCTGTTAAGGAACATGCAGCCTAGATGCAGTACAGGCCTTACCCAGTAACAGACATGACAGAATTAGTTACTCCCATGCACAGCGTAAGCCCAAACTTCCAGGGAAGCAGAGCATCATCTAGTCTTGGGGGTAAGGGACGGCTCCACTGAAGAAAGAGAGGTCTGAGCAGACACACACCTGCGGGTTAAGTGGTGGTCATGCCGCAGAAGGCCAGTGTGACTCTGGCAGGACTGTCCAGGCGAGGCCAGGTAGATAGGAGCCCAGAAGAGAATGGGAAGAACGAGAAGGCTTTTAAATCTCTGAGAAGTGTGACTGGGTTTTCAGTCTTAAAAGAGCATTTAAGCTAATTTAGTACAAAGTAAGGCTTTGTATTAAGTAGCAATTCCTTAAAAGGTGGTTGGCGATGGAAGTTCCCTTCAGTAAGCTCTGTTTCTCTATTTTCCTTCCTCCTGGACCTGAGCGGGTGCTGTCTGCTCTGCAGGTCCTTGCATTCCCTGGCGTTTCTTCAGGTCTTCTTGCTTATCTCATGCCTGCTTTGTCAGTGGCTCAGCTGACAAAAGGAATAGGGTGGAGACAGGGAGGGAACCAGAGAGAGGGTAGGTTTTCCTCAACAACCTAAGTAAGTGTCAGAGCTCAGTCCTTGTTTGGGGTGGGCATGTGTGACACGCAGCTGCCTGCTGCTCTTCAATTCAAATATGATTTAATAGCAAAATTATAATGCACTGTTCACTGCTAACCACTCCAGGTATTCCCCACGAGAGAGGGATGCACAGTGATGCCGCGTCCCTGAGGCACTCCTGTCGAGTGGATCTCTTTGACGACCCCTGCTACGTCAATACACAGGCTCTCCAGAGTACCCATGGCTATGCTGGAAATCAAAGCTCAACTCAGTCACAAGGGAGCACATGGCATCTTGGAAGTAAGTGCTTTCCCACTGCCTGTATTACTAGTGTCCTGGTGTTGTGGCGACTGGTCACTACCAATCACCACATACTTGGTGTCTGGGAACAACAGCTCCCAGTTCTCCCGGTTATGAAGGTCACATGTCCAAATTAAGCTGTTGGTAGCACTGACTCCTCTTGGTGCCCTGAGCAATCTGCCTAGTGCCCCTGTCCTTATGTCTGTGGCTAATTGGTAAATGTCAACAATGCTTGGCTTACGGGCACTCCGATGTCTGTATCGGCCTCACACCCTCTGCTTCCTGAGCTCCCTTCTCTTTGCCCAACAGGAGAAGTCACTGCATTTTGGTGAGATGAGGTGGTTGTGTAAGACCCTTAATTTGGTTATATCTGAAGAGACCTTTTTACCAAATTAGAAAGGTGATTAAGACCTGAACTCATCGTTTGAGGGACCACTAAGCATAGGCATAGTCTCTCATTTAAAAAAAAAACTATTTCCCTGGCTTCATCTTTAGGGAATTAAAAAGATTTCTTTTAAAATAAAAAAAATATTTATTTATTTTTGTGTGTTCGCGCACATGCACAAATACATGCAAAGGCATTCAGGACAATCTTCAGGAGTAGGTTCTCTCTTTTCACCTTGTGGGTTTGGGTGCTGTATTTGAATGTGAGGCTTGGAGGCAAGTGCCTTCCTCTGCTAACTCTTGACCTCCCTCTTTCACTGTAGTCAGTGACGAATCTGATCTTTGTGGACATGCTATGGATTTTAAGGATTTAGCCCATGGATTTTAAATAATTCTTTCAACACTGAATTTGCTTCCATTTCTTTTGAGTTTCTGATGTGTGTTTTTAATCAAGGAAGGACTCTCAAAGCCAGCTGGTAATCTCGTATTTGTTTCTTTGCAAGAGAAACAATGGCCACTATTTCTGTCCTGTTTAGTGGCAGTGCTAACTTCATTCACCTCAAACCCCTTGGCATGGCATCTACACAGAACAGACACTAGACACTCTGTTCTCCAGTCATACATTTCAGTTGTGGGTCAGATACAGTGAGGTAAACAGTTGTTTTCCTGCCAACGTGCTTGGGATGCTGAATGCTGAAGTAGGAACACAGATAAGTAAAAGCTAAATAATCCCAAAGCCTAAAATGTTTTGAAAAATAAACTACAGTTTATTTCCCACAAAATACTGGGCTCAGTGATTGGTGTGATGTCAGACTCGGCTTGCTCCAAAGCTGGGGAAGCAGCCCCTGAGGAGGACCTGTCACCACCCAGGAAGCTTCCCCGGAGCTGCCAAAAGCAGCATTTCAGTGGCTGTGAGCTGACACATTTCAAAGGTTTTGTGTGGCCTGGCCTTCAACAGAGCCTTAGATGAAGTGGCCCTCACTGACAGCCGTGTGACACATACTCTATCCTTTGGCAGAAAAGATGCCTCTTCTCACACAGTCCAGCCAGCTCGTCCTCTGGAAGCGGGTACTAACTAAGGTGAAGGCTGGCATTTGAGGTCTATAGACACCAGTATCTGGGTGCCAAGGAGGAGAAAATGACTGGGCAGAGGGGAAGGTGCAACAGCACAGGCCTATGAAAGCTTTGGCCAACTCCACTGAGAGCCTGTGTGTTCTGCCAGCACTGGCCTACACAGGGCCCAAGCGAACTGGCCTGTCTAGCCCCAAGAATCTGCCTGGATGTGGGCCACCTGAGGCAGGGCAGGACTTTGGCTGCTGAGGTAGGCCCCGAAGGACTGGCCATCTGGAAGCTGACTGCTGGGCCAGGCTAGAAGAACCAGGTTCTTCCTGGAAGGAAGTGCACCTCTGTCGGTCACAGGGGGAATGTTGGGAGGTGGTAACCGGATATTCCTTTAATTGCTGCAGTGAGCTCATGTGGTTGTCCTGTGTGAGATGTCCTGTGTGGATAAAGGCAGTATTTGTTACAGAGATGCCTTCAAAGGTAACTGAGTAGACTTAACCTTTTGTTCCAGACAGAGAAATAATAGAAGTGACCAAGTTAATCAACAGCAAAAGGAATCCCTGCTAAGAGTTGCAAACAAGGCTGCCTTATCCTGACCTCAGTGGGTTTATCTTTTTTAAAGTCTTTTTTTTATTAAATTTATTTTTTTACATTCTAATCCTAGTTCCTCCTCCCTCCTCTCCTCCTGCCCCCCACTTCCTCTCCACTCCACTCCACTTCCTGTCTGCTCCTTGGAGAGGGTAAGGCCTCCCCTAGCAAGTCTACTAAATGTGTCATATCATGTAGTTGAGGCAGGACCAAGGCACCTCTCCACCCCCACACCCCACACCCCTGTGTCTAGGCTGAGCAAGGTGTCTATCCATATAGAATGGGCAGTTTGTGCATTAGTGTTAGATCTTGGACCCATTGCCAGTGACCTCATATATTGCCTCAGTCACACCATTGTCACCTATATTAGGAGAGTCTAGTTTGGTATTATGCAGGTTCCCTACTGGTCAGACCTGAGTCAGGGATCTCTCACTATCTCGGGTCAGCTGATTCTGTGGGTTTCCCCATCATAGTATTGACTCCTTTGTTCATATTATCACTCCTCTCTCACTTTGATTGTACTCCAGGAACTTGGCCCATTGGTTAGTTGTGGATTTCTGCATCTGCTTCCATCTGTTTCTGTAAGAGGGTTCTAGCTTCTCTGGGGTTGTGGATTGTAGGCTGGGTGTCTTTTGCTTTATGACTGGTGTCCGCTTGTGAGTGAGTACATACTATATTTGTCTTTCTGAGTCTGGGTTACCTTACTTGAGATGATGTTTTTCTAGTTCTGCCCATTTGCCTGCAAATTTTAGGATGTCATTGTTTCTTACTGCTGAGTAGTTCTCCATTGTGTAAATGTACCACATTTTCTTTATCCATTCTTCAGATGAGGGGCATCTAGGTTGTTTCCAGGTTCTGGCTATTATGAATAATGCTGTTATGAACATAGTTGAACAGATGTCCTTGTGGTGTGAATGTGCCTCCTTTGAGTATATGCTAAAAAGTGGTATTACAGGGTCTTGAGGTAGATTGATTCCCACTTTTCTGAAAAACGGCCATACTGATTTCAGTGGGCTTGTCTTAGCCTTTGCCCTCTTCCTTCACTGGTGTCAGTCCTTTTCCTAATGCTCTCCCAATCTTTGTTTCCTATTAGGATTCAATGCGCACAGCCTCCTGGGCTTTTGGGGCACCCCTAAGGATTAATGTCCGCTTGCCATTCCTCCCTCCAAATACCAAACCCAAGTCCAAATGCATTTTTAAAATGTTGGTTTAAGAAAATTTTATGGTAAGTTAGAGCTGTGGTAATTTTTTCTACTTATTTATTTTCTATAAATTGCCTTAAACAGATCTTCAGCTTTGCTCTGCAATTGTTCCTCTTGTTTCCCCTTCCTTAAAAATCATCCTAGCCCCCTTTATCCAGACTTAGCTCCCTTTATCCAGAAAGTTGTATTGATCCACTCAGGACAAAAACCAAATGCGCACATGCACGAACACATGCACGCGCGCTCACACACACACACACACACACACACATGCATGCACACACACACACAGAGTTCTGACTAGCTGGGATCCTCGATCCATCCCACTACACTGCGAGCAGGAGGCTTTCTCACGAAGCCTTAGTTCTTACTGGCAGTGGCAGGTGTGTTCCTGAGCTCTGCTATGATCAATATAAGCTTCCAAAACAAAGAAAACTCCCAGACACTGTCATGTAAAATTGACTGGCTTATTTATTTCTATCTACTTGTTCAAGTACCAGTGACACAGAGTGGAACTAGGCAGAACATCTGTCTTTCCTGTCTGGTTCAAGGTGCCCATATGGGTCCTTATCTGTATTCAGACAGTGAGAGGAAAGACAATAGTCTGTCAATATTCCTTTAAATGATATGACTCAAAGTGGCAGACGTTGTTTCTTCTCACCGGAAGACACCATTCATTTCTTCACTTGCCATTGTAGAACCCAGACACATGCCACCTCGCTTAAGGGAAGCTGGAAGTTACCCTATGTGGGTTCGGTAGTGTGGAGGCAGGGAGGACATTACCTGCTGACAATTAGCTGTCTCTACCGCTTTGTACCTTTCTCCCCCTCAGACAGCCCAGTGGCTCTCTGCACACAATGCACCGCATCCAATGGCTGTCCTTAGCACCTGCCAAACTTCCCTCTGCACAGGGGTACACCTGCCCTGGAAACTCACATTCACAAGGAACAGCAGTCACTGGGAGTCCTAGTGGTGGGGACTCTTGGAACCAGAGCCAGACACCGCTTCAGACACCACTGGCTTCAAGCCTGGCTCGCTTTTGCAAGATGACTCTTGTCTTTTGCCGTCTGTGGTGTCTGAGGTGCCTCCTGGATTGTTCCTGCCATTATCCTCCACGTCCTCACCTGGACCAGATGCCTGCAGGTGTGTCTCTCAAGGCTTCACCCCTCCCCAGCCCATTTTACAATGCCGTGGGCATGAGAGTTTGAAGGTTGCTTCAGGAACCAGAATATGTAACAAGGAGGCATGTAAATTCCTCGGCAATGTAATTTCTTCAGAAACTTGGTACAGCATATTCCTTTTATTGTTACTCCATTGTCCCGTGGAGCTCTGGTAATATGTCCTCTCCCGGCTGTTTTCTCATTATTCGAGTGGGCCTTTGTTAGGTTTATTGGTCTTATCAATCTTGCTAAAGCATCTGGCTTTTCGTTTTGTTTTCTATTTGATTAAACTCCATTTTTGTCTCCACTATGTTTCCGACATACATCCTTTTAATTAGTTTTTCTTTTTGTTTGGTTTCTACTGCGTTTTCTTTTATAGGTTGACAATTTTAGTACCTCTTGGCCCTTTATATTCGATAGTGAATCTAGTTTAATTTTTTATGAATCAGCATTCCAAACACTGTTGATTAAAATCTTTCTTTCTCCCCTACTGCCCCTACTATTATATTAAGGTCCTGTATATATGCATGTATTTTTGGGCTCCTTGGTTCACTTTCTCTATTGGGTCAATTAATGTTCTATACTACTATACTCATTACCATAT